TCACTATCGTTCTTTTTTAAAGGTTTTTCTTTGCCGAAAGCGAGAAAAAAACTTAAAATACAAAATTCGAGCTTCAAAGTATCGCCATTTTGTGAAACAATTATATATGTACTTTATTTATTTTTCTATATATGTCATCTTACTTTTTTAGTTTATTTTAGCAGGATAGTTACAATCATACCAGCCAGAAGTAGACTTTTTTTAAAAGGACCTCATTCAAAGTTATGTTAATTTTATGTTATCTTATAATTTTGAATATTTTTGTCCGAAAAAATATATTTTGGAACTCAAGTATCAGTAAAAGTATGTGCAAAAGTTTATTACGAAATAGTTTCGATTTCTTGTAGGAAAACTCCCCAAAAGAGCGTAAGCGTGAGTGTGAATATTTCTTTCTCTATATCCGTTTCAAATTTCATTAAAAATATCTTGTCGATGATATTAATAATTTTCACGTGTTTATACACCAAAAAGTTGAAGCAATAGATTCGTCAGGGCTTTCGGCAACAGCGTGATCGTGTATTTAAGATTGCTATTTCGCTTTCCAATTTATTTATTCGTGTGCCAACCTTAAAACGGTATCGAATGACACGCAAACGCCTTTATCACACATTTTTCTGTAAAGGTGCCAACATTCTTTCTCCTTATTGGTTTGAAACTGCGGTTCCGTCGGCGTTGGTTGTACTTGTTGAGCAGATTCTCTCGAAGCTGTCGTAAATGTCTGCTTCACCTATCGGCATCAATGATTTCATGACAATTTCGCAGCAAACTTGTTACCATTAAGTGAGGTATTTCTCGTACATTTGTTGGAGAATTATTCACCGGGGTTTTCGCATGTTGCGGAAACGTTTCCATTTTCTGCGGAACGATTCTTGGCGATTCGTGTATTTTGATTTTCGATGACATCATTTGTTTTTCCATTTCTCTGTAACGGGATTAGAATAGTTATGAAATCTTATCCTACAAACGAAGTACGATCCTATAGATACGGTTACTCAGAAAATTGAACGTGCACTTTTTAAAACGCAATAAATTTTTAAAATTGGACTAAGAGTGTATTGAATTTTTTTCGATGATAGAGGGACTAGTCTGCTAGACGATGACTAAAATGTCTTTTTTAAATTATGCTATTTCTTGGGATGACGAAAAAAGATATAAAGTCCTCGTATTTTAACTATTTTATCTGAGCCCAGAACAGAAATTTAAAAATTGCCTTTTGTAAATTTCGGTAACTTATATGCATACTGAAAATTTGATCGAAATCAGTTAACCCAGAGTCGAGCTACAGACGTTGAAAGATTGAAAAAACTGCAGATTTCTTCCAGTTTTTTTGGTCAATATCGTGACAAAACTGCGGTTTTTGTCATCTTTAATTTACTGTACCTGATAACAACCGATTTCGATAAAATTTTCAGCATGCATAAGTTACCGAGATCTACGAGATTTCTTAAATCTTCGTTATAGGCTCAGATAAAAAGGTTAAAAGACGAGAGTTTTTTTTATCTTCTTTGTCATTCCAAGTAATAGCAAAATTTAAAAAAACATTTTGGTCTCGCTATCATCTAAAAAAAAAAGATTCAAGTCACTTAGACCAGTTTCAAAAAAGTTATCGCGTTTTAAATGGTGTACACTCAATTTCGCGAGTAACTGTATGTAGGAAGCATCATCATTCGTCCTAATTCGAGATTGCTCGAACTAATCGAAGAAACGATTTCTCATCGTTCGGACGTTTTCGTGGTCCTTGACTGAACAAGAGAACGTATTATGAAAACTATTAATACATTTCGTTCACGATCGTACCAGCCTCTCTGTGTTCCCATCATTCTGTACCTCTCTTAGCGTTCATTGTATCGATATCTTATAAATTCTTATGAATTTAAATTGTGCTGCAGATAAAAAAAGATTGTTATCGTAGCTGCTTGTCACACCAGAATGGTACTGCGATGAAAGGACATTGTCACGCATAGATATGACGAAACTAGAAACTAGAAATATTTAGTTTCAGGTGTAAACGCTTTGTTATAAATTTTCTGGTAAGAAGCATCCCTAAAATCGGTACAGTAATTTTTTTAAAAGTCAAATGAAAGTTAATTTCCCATATTAAGTGATTTTAATTAATTACACCAAAAAATTAAGATTATTAAATTTTATGAAACATTTATGTTATTTACCTAATTTAACTCATTTTATGTAAATGAGATATGTAATCTTGCAGTTAGTTTGTAAA